AGTGATGATTGATTTATGTTGTTTATAGAGACAGAGAACAATATGCCACTAGCACTGGGCTTCCGGTTTCCGGTTGATATTTTGACTTGACTAGGAATTGTTTGATAGCGTACGGAGAGACGGGGCTATTTACCGTTAGAAAATGTCTAGTATAATACATCCCGAGTCAATATACCAGCTCACTAATGCAAATAAACATGCTGAAAGCTGAAAATTCCCTGACAGGTGAAACATTGCTATAACTCTGCATATGTCAATAGGCCCGAATAAACATAATTTATGTTTCATTTCATTGCTGTGTCTGGTTTTTAGAATATAGTACATGTGCCCCTATCTGAGATCAATCTCCGACCTCCAGGACTTGTACCTTCCCTGACCCCCGAGACATGAACCATCCCCTAACTCTGAGACATGTACCTTCCCCGACCTCCGAGACATGTACCTTCCTTGACCTCAGAGACATGTACCTTCCACGACCTGCGAGACATGTACCTTCACCGACCTCCGAGACATACCCCTTCCCTGACCTCCCCTGACCTCCGAGCCATGTCCCTTCCCCGACCTCCGAGTCATGTACCTTCCCTGTCCTCCGAGACATGTACCCTCCCCGCCCTCCGAGCCAGGTACCTTCCCAGACCTCTGAGACATGTCCCTTCCCTGACCTCCGAGACCTGTACCTTCCCCGACTTCCGAGACATGTACCGTCCCCGACCTCCGAGACGTGTACCGTCCCCGACCTCCGAGCCATGTACCTTCCCCGACTTCCGAGACATGTACCCTCCCCGACCTCCGAGCCATGTCCCTTCCCCGACCTCCGCGACATGTACCTTCCCGGACCTCCGAGACATGCACCTTCCCCCACCTCCGAGACATGTACCTTTCCTGACCTCTGAGACATTTACCTTCCCTGACCCCCGAGCCATGAACCATCCCCTAGCTCTGAGACATGTACCTTCCCTGACCTCCGAGACATGTACCTTCCCTGACCTCCCCTGACCTCCGAGACATGTACCTTCCCCGACCTCCGAGACATGTGTTGACGTTCGTAACATATACCTTTTATGGCCTGAAAACCCCCCGATTTTTCAGTACATATACTTTACTTAACCACAGAAAGTGTCTTCCAAGACGAACCCTTGACATGTGGCTTTCCCGATTGCCAACGATGTATACATTTACCTAACCAGACTACCCAAGATAGATTCAGATTTTTGTTCCGCTAAGTCACACGTTGGTGTAGAACAATAAGACACCCGTATATGTATATATACAGCAAATAGTAGACATACACGATCCATAGATGTCTATTTTACTTTTAAAGATATCCCTATTACCAACCTATATGAAATGCCTTAATAACTGCAGTATTATATAGAGCTAACTGTTGCAGTGGGTCAACTCTGAACTTATCATATGTACATACGTGTCTGTATAACGGTTACAACAATGAATAATCACAACAACATTAACATTCAAAACGAGGACCTATTTTTAATCAATTTTATTCGGGTGTGTAAGCACACCTGTTAAAATGTGTACAGGTTATTTTTGATTGTTAATTATTCACAGTTTGTCAAGCAGAAGGTCTTGAATGTCAAGGTAAATATTAGCTTACACGTATTGTGGGATTTGCATACCGGTATCATTAATACACTAGACAGAACAATAAGACACAAGTCATTCGGAAATACTTGGCGCCAGAAGAGGCCATATTGTATTCGGATCCAAATATAAATCTAGGCGGAATAAAATTGGAAATTGTTTTTGGAATATCATTCAAAATCAAAAATGTATTATAATACATAAAGTTACACATACATGTAAAACAAATCTTAACACTACACTGACGTAATACGTGCAGGTACACAAGAGGTACACAGAAAGATATCAACTTGAAACTCAACAAATGTTTACACAAAAGCTTTTCTTCTGGCACAACGATGAATAGAGCAAAGATAATATTGATTATTTAACTAGAGGTCAAACACATATTTGTGACACACCCATATATAGGATAAACCTCGTTAGACCTGTAAGATTGATTATTTAACTAGAGATCAAATACATATTAGTAAAGACACCCATATATAGGATAAACCTCGTCAGACCTGTAAGATTGATTATGTAACTAGAGGTCAAATACATGTTAGTAAACACACCCATATATAGGATAAACCTCGTCAGACCTGTAAGATTGATTGTTTAACTAGAGGTCAAATGCATGTTAATAAAGACTCCCATATATAGGATAAACCTAGTCAGACCTGTAAGATTGATTATGTATCTAGATGTCAAATACATGTTAGTAATGACACCAATATATAGGATAAACCTCGTCAGATCTGTAAGATTGATTGTTTAACTAGAGGTCAAATACATTTTCGTAAAGACACCAATATATAGGATAAACCTCGTCAGACCTGTAAGATTGATTGTTTAACTAGAGGTCAAATGCATGTTAGTAAAGACACCCATATTTAGGATAAACCTCGTCAGACCTGTACGATTGATTATGTAACTAGAGGTCAAATACATGTTAGTAAAGACACCAATATATAGGATAAACCTCGTCAGACCTGTAAGATTGATTATGTAACAAGAGGTCAAACACATATTAGTATACACACCCATATACACTAGCGGAAAAAAAGAAACGGTGCATGCCTAAAATGTGTTATAAAAATAAATGCGTATGACGTAGAGCAACAAGGTTTTTAGGGACAATTTATTTGTTATTTATTAACAGTTGCATTCCATTTTCCACGTTATGGAATCAATATATTCCGCTCAGGAGTGACGTAAACACAGCAGGGGTCAATACTGAGTTCACAAAGTTAATACCTCGTATGTCCACCGTTTGCCTGAATGCATGCCTGGCAACGTCGACGCATGGAGCCTATCAGACGGTTCAAAAATGCTTGTGGGATGGCATTCCAGATCTGTACCAACGCTGCAGGCAAATCAGCGAACGTCACCGGTTAATTAGGTAATGCCCGTAATCTGCGCTTCATTTCATCCCAGAAGTGTTCAATGGGCGACAGATCGGGGGATACAGCAGGCCAGGGCAACACGTCAACGTTCTGCTGGGCCAGAAAGTCCATAGCGACACGAGCTGTGTGTGGCCTGGCGTTGTCCTGCTGTAGCGTAATGTGACGTTGCTGCCCTTGCACGAATGGAACGATGTGGGTCCGGAGGATCTCGTCACGGTAACGTAGCGCGTTCAAATTCCCGTTAACAACCACCAGAGGCGTTCTCCCGTTGGCTGTGATGCCGCCCCAAATCATAACGCTGCCTCCGCCGAAAGAACGTCGTTGTACCACACACGCGTCACGGAAACGTTCTCCAACGCGACGATACACTCTGGAACGGCCGTCACTACTATCCAGGTGGACTCGCGACTCGTCCGTAAACAAAATGCCTGCCCAATCCCGTCGAGTAAATCGCAGATGCCTTCTGCACCAGTCCAGACGTGCTACACGATGACGTGGCAGAAGAACTGGGCGGATTGCAGGACGTCGCGGACGGATAGCTCGTTCACGCAATCGGTTCCGTACAGTTCTCGGGCTTATTGGTAGCAACCCAGGGATTGTCCGTGCAGTCAAACTTGCCGTTTGGAAGCGATTTCTCAAATGAACAAGCCGAATATGGTTGTCCTGTTGACGTGACGTCACACGTGGACGTCCCGCACGAGGTCGATCGCCGACGTGGCCAAACTGTTGATGTCGTCTCCACAAATCCCGGATTGTGTTTCGATGGACATGAAAACGTGTAGAGACAACGGCTTGTCCCATACCAGCTTGAATCATACCAATAATCCGGAGGCGGTCATTTTCATTGAGCCTCGGCATAGCAATAATCACAAATTAAAACGTTATAATGCTGTTTTTACTGTTCACTGGTCTCAACACAGTGACCCAACAGTTGAAAAATAAACTTTCATTGTCGAATTGGATGGTTGGACGAGAAAAACGTGCAAACTGGTCAACGCCTATAGAGAGCAACCTGCACGGGGAAAACTGTCAATGACACACGGATAGTGTGTATGTGTCATACTCGGTCATGTGTGTGAATTTTCATGTATATACAGTTGGTAATACATGTTCTATAACAATTCTCCACATGCAGTTTCTTTTTTCCGCTAGTATATATATAGGATACAACCTCGTTAGACCTGTAAGATTGATTATTTAACTAGAGGTCAAATACAACAATATTTATGTTATGTACATCATTTGGTGAATGATAATGACATGTCACGTGACAATAGGTGTCTATAGTCACGAAAACAACATAGATTCTGAAATAAACTTTCGATTGGTATGCTTTAATGGTCATCACACCCCTGGACATTAAGAATGACGCTGGTTTGGTGCGTACGAGAACTTGCAAATTACCTGACAACACGCCCCAACCACCTTCCTCTTAATTTTCCTTCCTATGTTTATGCAATATTTAGTTGGTATTTTGATAATCACGTAAACAGGTCGCGCGACCCGAATTTCCAACAGGTGGACTAGCACGTGCAGTATGCTAACTATATGATACTTATATATCCCGAGGGAGTAAAGTAATACGAACGTATCCCCTGGGGACGGGTATTTGATGGTTGTATCCTGTAATTCACTCCTCCATTGACACTAGTTAAGTGAGCCGGCCGTGATTTATGTATCAGACAGACACCAAATACAGGTTTCAGTAATACTGCCGTGAAACTCTAACCCTAAACACTACATATGGAACCTAGTTCTGGGGATATCAAGTTCACATTGCTGAGAACATAGGGGAACCTAATCCACACGCAAACTGTTTCTGTTCTATCTAAATACCTATGTTTCTTCGTACGCTTTTATTCTAGGGTGGGAATAATGCACAATTAGTGGTGATATGTATGGGTATTTATAGACGTATTTGAAGTTGTTATCGAATGGCCCCGAGAGACAAGGCCACATACGTATACTAGATTAAATGGTGCTTCTTGATTTACTCTATTGATACAGGCTCGAACAATAGCCCTTTTACCAATGTTTATTGCGGCATTTACTAACGGGGTAATCTCAGCCAGTTACACCTCTAGTGGCCAGCTTGTAGGACAGAGCTGGGATGACCGGGTACCTCTTGGTTCGGGACGGAATTGTCCGTACCTTGGGTCCTACACTGTGGTGAGACTTACTGTAGTAAACGTGACGTTGCTACCTGTAGTGGTGAATTGAAACTGATAAAGTGACTTTTGGAATCAAGTACAGGATTAGTAGTAATTGACGTACACATGTGTTGAAGGAATACAAAAGTCAGAGTGAACGCGACCTACTGTATTGCGAGATCAATGGTCACTAAAGCTGATCCGTTTCGTTTTCTGCTGAATGTGAAACAAATCCAACAAGAAATGGGTTATGACAGAAAATATGTGCTGACGTCAAGCTGTGGCATCTGTCTGGATTTATTCTTGCTCTGTAGTGGTCGATTGGGTGTGTCATCAAGCGATTGACACATGTTGAGGAATACTTGATGAGCAGATCGTATTATGCACATTATCACTTTCATTGTGTGAAGTACCTCTCTGTGTTGTCGGGGTGGAATATCTACTGACGTGGTATGGATGTTAGGTGATCCAAGACTTCTATGAGATCATAATGGTACACATGGCATAAATGATCGATTTAGTATTACATAAAGTATCCAAGTTAAAGGTTTTGGAGCTTTTGTGTGTAGTGAGCAAAGTGAAGCAAGAAATGTGGTACGAAATATGTGAAATAAACGCTACTATTATTGTTTCCTCGTTCCAGTAAAAACATTGGAAGTTCGGTGAACTTAATTTCAGATAGGTTTCGATGATACTGATCCGATGTGAGGTTGACATTTTGTTTGATAACATGTTTTCGCGAATGTTGCTAATTTTAACAGTAACAGTCGGACCACACTAACTTTGACTGTGGAGAAGGTGTCGTCTGCTCGAGTGTAGGACATCTTTGCTAGCAGATGGCGTCTATCTACAGGAGACGTAACAGTACTGGCTTCTGTCTGTTGTCTGCGAGACTGGCAGTCGTAGATAAAGGCTCATTCTCTAAAAGGTCAGTAGTTGTGGCTCTGAATGTCTAGTCATCTGTTTTCCAGATGGTTGGTAGTAAGTCCATGGTCATTGTAGACTGCTGTCGATGTATATTAGTTGTTCAATTTTCACCGGAAGTCTGTTAACGAAAGCTTCATCTGCCGAAATGCAGAAAGCTTGAACATGTCGCATCTTGTAACACATTTGAAATCCGTTTGCATATTGACCCCCATAACTCTCCCTGAATGGAACAACCTCACACCAGACCTGGTCTCATCTGTAACTTTGGAAACTTTTAAAAACCGTCTCTCCTCTCTACACAATTAGCTCTGTTCTCACTCTTCGGTCGATTAGCAGGCAGAGTAGAAGTAGAATTCCTACAAACAATGACGTATAAAACACAAATTATGTCATTATATAATCAATGTCGCCAAGTAATGAGCAAATGCATATGTATGATAGTCTTTGTATTGCTTGCTTCAGGACACTTAGCTTTGAGCTTACTGTGATATACACAGTGTCTTTTCTGATTTTTTTATATATTTTTTTTATGGTTGTAAAGTATATGTGTATTTGATTCCATTTGTTGGCTATCATTTTCGGAATCCCTAGCTTAAACAAGCATACCCTCAGTGTAGGATAAGACATATTGTGATCGGTGTCAAAGGTTTTCTTAAAACACCAGAAACGTACGAAGTATCAACTACGTGCTATACTTGGAATAACCGAGTATTACATCTGCAAGAAACATCCTTAGATCTTATCTTAATCTCTTACCCAAGCAGCAATTTATGCTCGATCAAACCTATATGAGGTTGTTTCGGACACTATCAGGTCGTCTTTGTGAGTTAAATTGTAGTAAATAACGTTTGATCCCCGCGTGCCGGTGTTAATCATCCAATCAATCTCTTCGGCTTCGTAACACACGAACCGAGCGGCTTAACACCTTGTTATCAATCAATGTTGTCGTATGTATTAAACAGGCCGGGTAATGACGTAGTGATCGAGATCAAGTCACGCGGATTTAAAACAATTTAAATGGTTGTAATGCGTATCGTAGTACCTGATTCCCTTTTTAAAGAAAATGTGTCTCCTCGGATCGGGGTTTGTACCCACAAAGGTAATTATTGGACAGAACAGCCCCATGACTCCAGTAGGTGTTCGTTTGCTTTTCCCCCTTTTGTTATTTCGCTATGTATGCTCCCATCTTGCTATTTCCTTTAGGCTTCTCTCTCTTCTGAGTTCTAAAGGTTGCTACTTGAGTACCTTTACATATATGCAGGCTCAGATTCAAGATTTATGTTTTAGCCATTAATATTTCTCCCCAATGCATAGTGGAAGAGCAGGGAAAAATAATGAAATAATTAAATGCTTTGGTCGGTCTTATGGAAGAAGACATATGCTAGATAATTACTTCCAATACCCGCAACATCTCAAAATCCTCTCATAGTCTGATGTACTGTTCCGCTTTTAAAGAACACTATGCATTGATAAGGTGATCTGAAGCAATACCTAAAATATAATGCAAACATTTGATCGACCATTAAATTTTCATTTCTTTGGCGAATTATTCCGATAGCTTATTGTTACCGTTTGTACGGATTATAATAATTCACTAAGAAAATTGCCATAGGATAGAAATGATCGGTGTCTTACAATAACCCTCCTATAAATTGCATTGTAAACAACAGGAACGGTTTACTTAACCGATGTAAAAGTAATGTCGTTTTTATTTTCAAACAAAACGGTGAACTGCGCTCACGACAAAAACAGCAGATCAAACGGCATGTGAAATTTGACGAGTTTTAACATCTACATTAGTTTTTTATGACATTTTAAGACCTGGTAAATACTATTAACGGAATCACAACACCACCTACATGACGGCGGTATGTTATTTTCCATGTAAATACAGTCTACGTAATAAAGATACTGATATATTGAGAACGCTGCCAAGTCCTTCACACTAATACAACAATATAGAAGTACAGCCAGTGTGAAAATATGACCAACCTGTGAAGTTTATCAAAGTAAAGCCTCGACTCGGTGATCAAACATGAGACAACTTCCTCTGTCACAACAGAAGTGATATTTTCGCTTATCAGTACCCCAAACCTTTCCATTTAAACCAGCAAAGAGTAGAGTGTGACAGAACAGTGCTGCGACGATATGTGTGCTCCCATAGAATGTAACTTAATACAACTGTGATCCTTCCAACCGAAGTCTCGAGGCCGTATTCATTAAACCCTTCTCGTGCTCAAACATGGATTCTGTACTCAAACCAACTTTCTTGTTACTCGCTTAACTTATGTTCAACGATCAAAACGTCAAATGAAAACATTGAAAAAAGTATTCAGCTTTAAGTCTCTTTTTCCAAATCATTGACAATTTAAGATTTTTAATAATTTATAACAGGAACAAGAAGTTATGTTTGAGCATAAAATTCATGCTTGAGCATGAGACCGGTTTCATAAATACGGGCCCAGGACAACAGATGGTTGCGGGTTAAGTATGACGTTACACAAAAAGCGACAGTTCACAGCGTTTGGAAATTCCAGGAATGCATGAAGTACACTTTTGTCAATAAAGCTGTACACTTGTATATAAACCTTGCCGTTTTTGTTGCAGGACAATGGACAGTGCTTCGCCAAACGCTCTCGACTTCCCTGACGACGCCATAGACAAGGTTGCCAGGGCAAATTCCGTCAGGCTTGATTCGAATGGCATTCTACCGGAAGTGCGTGCGTCACCATGCCCTATGCATAGTAAATATGACAAGAAATCTGATCTTATGTACATGTCAAGTCACAATGGAGGATCACCACACCATCATGTAAAAAAGAACGGGAAAGTGCGAAAAATGGTTTCTAGTTCCTCACATGAGAATGCGCTCAGTGCTAATAGGGACACTAATGAGGATTTGGCGGTAGTTGGTCGAATGCCAAGTAAAAATTCGCTTCCAGGAAATATGCCTTCCAAAGAATTCGTGATGACGTGGCTTATGTATGGATCGGAGCCCGGAAGTGGAAATCACTTTCCAGAACTTGTTAAAAATGAAAGTGACAAGAAATCTCGGGGCAAAACAGTAATCAGAAAGGGAACGACGAAAGACCTCTCGTTTGGTGAATGATTTGGTGTCATATTTATATGAAGATGAAACTGTTTACACGTTCTGACGGGGATGTACAGTCATTGTTATAACTGTGGAGCAACTTATAAAAATGTTCCCGTTCCACGAGCATTGTCAATGTACAAAGCGTAAATGGACTAATGTAGAACCTAGTTTATGCCCTAAAGTTCCTGTGTGGTTTACGGACATAGATGAGTATCGATTCAGATTGTGATTTAGATTATTGCTCGCATCATACCTGTCGTATATTTCCCTAATTGGACGAATCAATGTAGCGTACAACAAAACAAAGAACTCGTGTAATTCTTGGTAATCCTGTGGACCTTACTGTCCAACCACTTGCAGGTCATTCATGTTAGTTCCTTTTGTCCATTTTGTCCAGCCACTGGCATATTATTGGTGGGAAGTATGTACTGGACATATTGTCCAGCAAAGGGATTACAATAACTGGAAGTTCTAAAAGTTGTTCAAAAACAGATGAAGCGCGTCTCTCGGAGGTGAAATCCTAGTTTGTATCCATGTTTGTCTACGTATGGACATACCTACATACCTACTTAATCGAATGTAACGAACAATCCGTAAAGCAATGTGCTGTAACAATAATGACAATGGCATTTTTCATTACAACACGTGAAATAGTAATACATTATATTTTGATATACAAGCAAATGCTAGTATCTTGTCGGTACGAGAGGAAACTACATATTTTCTAACGTATCCATTCCACTTGACAATACTTTGGATAGGGTATGCCTAGTCGTTTATAACTCGGTTACCATAAGAGGGTCGCTTGATAGAATTAGTCCACCGCATGACATGTCGTTAATCTATGCTAGAGTACCACAAAGGATAAAAATAACAGGTCAACCTGTCGGAGCTCTAGGATATAGGAAAACCTATTTGAAATAGTTTGCGAATAAAAAGATTAGTTGATGCTTAGCATATTTGTGTTTTTTGTTGGGTTGTTTGTATCCTATTAAACGCTGTGGTCATTTAAGGGTGTGCCAAGTTATGGTGGTGTAGGAAAACCTCCGACCTGCAGCCACGTAGGCCTCGAACGCGCAACCCAGTGGTGGAGAGCTAGTGGTCATAGACGGTCAGTCACCTTAACCACTCAGACACCGCGACCGCAGAGAGAAGTGAGAGAAGTACTAATACAAACCGGGAATAAAACCTCTTATCAGTCAATTATGTTGATACTTATTGTGCATTATCTCGCTCCTTTCACCAGACACATGCCACAATATGCATGTTAATTTCATAACAGCTGCATATTTTCAATTTGCAAAAACAATTAGCAGCATTTTTAGGCCCAATTATGCATCAAGGTGTTTTAATGCATCAAAAGAGCGTTAAGCGTATACATGTGTATTAATGCATCAATGAGGGAATGTTTAGTAAACCCTTATTGTTACTTTCAGCGAAGGCGCCAAGTTAAGCCTTAATGCCTTAATGCACCACATGTTGATGTAAACGAATCTTACTCAATTGCACAGTCAATAGCGTATCTGCTGGATAACCAAACAACTTGTTATTGAAGTGGACGTACAACCACACAAACAAACAAGCAGTCAGTAATCAGTTAGTATCCTAACGGATTAGAGTGAAGTCCAGACGGCAGCGAAGTGAATATTGATGACCCATCCTGAATAAGGGTGGACATAGAGGGATCAAAACCTAAAGAACCTAAAGAAGGTTTTGATAGGTATATGTACGGGCTACCTGGGAAGTGCGCTATTACAGGCGTTAGCGAGTGAGCAGTGCGCTTGGCAAAGTTGAAGGTTTGGATTAGTGCGCTGGCTACAGCTGAGTACAAAGGAGAGGGTGCGTTGCACAATTGTGCACCGCGCATGGTTTAAATAGTTCGTTTGGTCAGTATGCATCACTCCAAGTTCCCAATGGTCAGTTTTCGGGTCACTCCCGGTTTATAGTCCAATTTCTTTTTGGGTTTGGGTACAACTAACTCGAGCTACTCTCCGGAATTGGGGCTGGTCTCAAATTTCGGAGGGTAGCCCGAGTAAGTTGGTCTCATCCAAGTAGGTCGGGATGCGCTTCAGTGAAAGTAAGAGCGTTAGAGGACTTTCTCAGAGGGTCTGCAGACATCGACATCGACCTTGAGAGTAGATGACATCAGTTTTCACCTGGAGACGAGGTGCTGCGGCTGAGATTGAGAACAGGAATGATGATATCCTCAACCTATCACCTGGGATTGTGTTGGCTGAGTCCTGGTCCGAATTCTCCTGCATCTGAACACGACGAGGACGTGTCATCTAAGCATAGGTTTGAGACTGAGGCCCATCATTCTGTAAATTCCCTATCTGGTATGTAGTTTTTCCGACAAGTCAATGCCGGAGGGTTCTGTTATTTACAAAGCCCTGGATGTGTCCAATGCCAGGATTGTAGAGAAAGCTGGTTCCTCCTCTAATGCATTTTGTGAATCTGGCCTCCAGTTGAGTCTAGCGGATTTGTCTGAGATTATGTCCTCGGACTAGCGCCACGCTTCTAAGTTAACCAGCTAAGCTGGAAACTCATGAGCTTCGACAGCCGCCAATGCCAGCAGCAGGCCAGGTGGTGTTCTCTGCCAAAGAGTACCACAAACTGAGAATATTATGCGTTCTCTCATAATTTGACTTTCTGACGTTTACCCTCTTTCGTTTATCGGAAGTGCCCGTCGGACGGAGAGTCGGAGGCGGAGGAGAGTGACAAACGGGCCATGCATGTCTGAAGGCCTCTGCGGTTTTGTAATCCACACTGCAGGCCAAAATTGGTTCCTACCTACCTCTGTTGTCAAGGATAAGCCTACTAAGGAACCTCACCTCCCCATGTTTTTACCCTCCTCCGGATTCTATACTACTGCAGGTTATGGTGACTTCCCTGCACAGGCGGAGAATAGACATCAATATTTACTTCGGCGACTCCTCGTGCTTCATACTCTTGTGCAGGATACTCGGCTTGTTCTGAGTCTTTATCTCAAACTTGGTTTCATTCCTAATAGCGGGAAATTTTAGGTGTCTACATCTAAGGACTTTGTGTTCTTAGGCTACCACTTGAACGTAGCCAGGAGCATAGTCTTCCGATTTCGAAGAAATTCATCACGCTTATCCCCGAGCTCAGTGGTTCAAATTTGTTTGTACCTCAGTCCTAGACCAGGTGAGATGTGTGGCAACATGCGACCAAATAGTTGCTGCTTATATGCAGAAGCATCTGTTAAGATCAAACACCTTCCAGGCATTGCGTGAAGGCTATCTCCGGCGGTTTCGCGCCGAAAGGTTTCTTTGGGCCGGTGTCATTAGTTCCGTAAGTTTTGTTTCCATGGCAGTCTATCATTTTAGGTGGAGCTTCTTCTACAATTCATGTGGCCATGGGCAAGTTGATCCATTCAAGGCCTATGGTCCCGTACTTGCAGATTTTATTGCATTTGTTTCTCAGTAAGATATTAGCTCCTGTAACTACTGCCGACTATTGGTCTGCTATTGCTGGTATGTCAACTTTTGCGGAGTGACTAGAGGTAGGAACGTTCTCCTCGTTGTCAGCATTCATCAGAGGTTTTTCAATTTAGAGACCTAGAGTTAGAAGTATTACACCTCCGTGGGATTTTACATTGATTTCAGAGTCCCTTTTAGGGGGCCCTGTACGAGCCTTTGAGTCAAGCCTCCTTGATTTTGATTTTTTACTTTTAAGACCGTGTTTCTCTGTCGCCCTTGTCTAGGGTAGAAAACAAAGTAGCGTGCATACCTTATCAGCGCATTTAATTACGAGGCTAGGGCTCTGGCGGCGTCTTGGCTCTTCTCAAATCCCGTCTTTTCCTGAAGTTATTTCCATTGCCTTCTGGTGAAAACATTATCGTTCTTCACAGACCAGCTGTACTTCTAAGGTCACCCACCTCGGATCATAAATTTTTTATTTAAATTTTGCTTTTATGTGTCAGCATGGAGGCGTGGCAGTGGATTTCCCGGTGGTTTATTTTTATTTTGGGGGCTCTATTTTACAAATTTTCTTTGGTATTTGGGTTTTCCTTATTTGCTGTAACCTTTGCAACGCCTCTTTAACTAGCCATGGTCTGGTCGGATGTAATGATCCACTAAGTAAGACGATTTTGCATAATAATTGGACACGGTAGGTATTTTTAATATATAAAATTGAATTTTTTATTGTGGTAAAAACCGATTTTTGTGATAAACAACATACCACGTCCAATGTCATCTTCACTGTCATGTTTCCTCTGGCTCATTTAGGCCCATTCGGTTTGGAAGCCCCTATATCCTGTTTGGACACGGAGTAGTTTCGTATTTACACGGACCATTTGCTTCTATCGTTTGAGCCTGTTCAAACCTCCCTTACCATGAAGCAGAGCAGATTAAGTCGGATTTAATAGGCATTTTAAAGATGCAAAAACACTTACATCTTTGACGAGAGAGGAACATAAAGCTCTCATAGAACTTTGGAAAGAAAAATTCGATTGCGATTTTGCCAGCAGACAAGGGTATGGCTTTAGTAGTTTACGATCCTTAGCAGATATACTGTTATCATTAGTAGGAACAACACAACACTGTGTCAGGAACTCTAAACACCTGGGTCATTATTGAAAAACAGGACGTTTTCAACTCCCACGACGTGGTTTCACAATTCACCAACACACCAGTACAAGAAGTCATCAGTATAATCAGAGAGATATTAACAGCTGACAAGGCACTCCAAAAGTGAACAGACCTATCAGTAGACACCATCATAATCATTGAACTACTTACATTTGTCGTGAACACGACATACTTCGTGTTCAGAGGGCATGCGTGTCAACAGAAGTACGGTGACGCTATGGGGTTGTCATGTGCTGCGAATCTGTTAATGGAACACATAGATCAGTCCGCCATTAGATCGGCGCCAAAGGAATACAGTCCCAAACTTTTGAAATGATTTGTAGATAACATCCTAGAAATAGCCAAAAAGGGAGCAGTGCATGGCCTAACAGATCGATCATCTGCACAAAGTGGACAAAACCATTTTTCCCACGAGGAATTAAAGGACAGATTTATATCATTCTTGGACATGCGCATCGTCCGGTACGAAAACAACATCATCAAACTATTTGTGAACTGCAAACCGACACACAAAGGTCAGTCTTTGGTTTTCAATTCTTCCATCTACGACATCGAAAGCTTGGAGTCGCACGTACACTTCCTGACAGTTGCAACAACATCATCAGAGAGCAGAACGATAGACAACGGGATGAACCGCACATAAAAGATGCACTTAGACATTGTGGCTTCCCAGACTGGTCAATTAACAAAGTCAAACGAGCTACAAAAGAAAAGACAGAAAATTAAAACAAATTAAAAAAAAGAAGAAGAAAAGAGATGAGAGCCAAACAAAATGCAAAGGCTGGTTCACAAAACCCATCGTGAAAGAGACGTCTGAGGCGTTTGCCCGGGCGATGATGAAACGCCATTAAAGCATCCCGATTGAGACCACTCCAGGGGCGTAACAAACGGGTTTCCAATGTGTAAGCCCAATGATGAAGTGTGCTGCCGAAGGCAGGTATGCCCCCCCCCCCCACACACACACACACACACACACCTCTAATTGGTGGGGGTCTGGGGGTCTCCCCCAGGAGAACTTGTTTTCTATAACGCCTGAGACGCGTTCTCCCGTGTTCTGGCGTCAGTTTCAATGGCCATTTTGAAGCAAGAAAATATCATTTTCCCCTATATAATTTTATAAATATTTTGCTTCTTTTTGGGTTCGTAGGGATTGGTACTCATCTACGCCAATTCTGTTTTGGAGTTCGGTAACATTATTCCACGGAAAAGAAAAAATTAAAAATTAAATCATGTGGATTTTGGGATAGTTGTTGTAAGAGTTTCTCCTCGCGACTGTGACTCTGGTTGCGCAGGGACATGAGACTAGTATCACAAGCCATCACTAGGAATAGTTTAAC